TTCCAGGATTCTTTGATGAATTAAAAAAACAACAACATTTATTTGAAATCTTTTGTAACATTATACATTTTTAATGTGGCTTTTGATTATTTTAATGTGTCCTTGCCTAATAAAAGTATTAGTAGTAAATTACCTCAGTACATGTGAAGACTGAAGTTATCTGGCATTTTCTAATAATGGTTGCACCTCCCATATATCTAGAAATTAACTGGTATTTTATTCTCTGAAATAATCTATCCCACATCTTATTACTTCTACGACATCGTAGGTGGGCCTATTCTATTCTATTCTATTCTATTCTATTCTATTCTATTCTATTCTAAGCTACAAATAAAAAAAGGCACCACCGAAGTAACATAAAAGTAGGCATGATATTTGCGGGTCATAATACGGGACAGTCTAAGACAGTCCCGAATACTGCTACTTAACAGGCCAGCTTACAGAGATCAGCACCCGCACACGGAACTCCAGCCAGCTGAGCGGCTATTAAAGGTTCGTCCCACACAGTGGGAGAGCAGGACAAAGTGTTAAGAGCCAGTACTGGCAGACTTAACCAGACTTCAAGGGCACATGGTGTGAAGACAGTCCTGTTGAAAGAGGACATGCTTTTGGACAAAACACACAAACAGAGCCTCTTTTCGCACATGGGATGGGACGTCATATGTCACTGTCTTGTGCACGAACATGTCAACTGCCACAAAACCCCAGGCAAAGCTCCGCTTAGAAATCTGTTGTGTCTGTGAACACGTGCCATGTCATAAATCATTTTGCCCTTGGAGATCATGCTGTCTTTATCAATAAAGCCATTCAAATGCAACACAACAAGCTGTGGAAAAGGTCACTAGAGATGACTAAAGATTAAACTGTCATGCAATGTTAATGCTGACTGCAAAAATAAACTACTAATTCCATTATTACTGTGTAAAATCAAGCATGATTTATGCTGATTAGAGCAATATGAATGTCAAGGTCAAAAATGTGCAATACTGCTGTTGCTTTGCATATATTGCATGGATAAGTATGACTCTACATGCAAACACACACAAAGCCAAGAGTATAAAAGACTGACATGTGTAGACCACAAGACCATCAATTTCTCATAAATAAAATATCTGATAAAGGACTAAAACATGGAAATCTACAGCAACAACTTTCCTATTTAAAGAGGATAACAGAGTACAGGGGAATGTGAACCAATGCAAATGGAGAACAGAACCGAGAGAGACATGCATGAAAAGCGGCTGTGGCATTTAGTACAGTTCCAGATGAGAAAGGAAATCCTCACCCTACTCAGAAAGGAGAGAGAGAGAGAAAGGAAGGGAAAGAATAGGAGATTAAGAGAGAGAGAAATGGAGACAACACACAGTGCGCGCTTGGGGTGAGACTGACTCATCCAGCACTCACAGGGACAGCATGTACCATGTCTTCATTTCCATCTTTGCTCTCAAGGTAATTTCTTGTTCTCAGCAGTGTATGGACAAATGTGACTGAATATCTGAATATCAGCTGTTTTAACACCAAACAGCCAAACAGTTCACTTCACGTGAAACTCATGATTGTGCAGATTCATATTTAAATGACTGGATATTGACTGCAAAATTTCCTAAACAACATTAAGTGTGCCAGCACCTTTAGTCGGTAAAGACAGCCATGCTAATGGAAGCATTCCTGTAGCTAAAAACAGTTGTGTTTTGCACTAGTAATGCTAAGTTATGGGTTTGAATCTCATGGAATGCATGACTGAATAAAAGTAAACTAAAGTTTTGAGTGGGATTCCTTACATTAATTTATATTTTAGACACAATATTGCAAGTTAAATTGTGCGTTTTTGCACCGCCATCCCAAATAGTTTTAAATAAAAGCACAACTGAACTTTTGTGCATCACTTTGTTGTCATTTTGTTGCTGAATGAATCTGCATTTTTGAATGAATCAGTTGAGAGAATGATTTTATGACTCATAATTCAGAAATGTGTACTATATAATACTTTTATTATTTCTGACATAGAAATATATGCTAAAAATAGTAAGAGTAGTATACTAGTGTGTGGAACCGGATTCAGCATTCTGAAAATCACTTACTTCATTCCTGAATGCATCAGAGTTTATGAACATCACTAATGCACAAACTGACAGTCTTAAAGGGGTCCTATTATGCTCTTTTACAAAGTCTTGATTTTGTTTTGGGGGTGTACTAGAACAGGCTCTCATATAGGTTGTTCGAAAAACACATTATTTTTCACATACTTTATGTGAAAATTACAACACCTCTCTCCCAAAAAATCTTATTTATACAAAGATAAATGCTTTTTATTGTCTTTGAATGGAACCTGTTCAAATCGTAGTGAGACAAGTTATCTTGTCTAATCTAGGCATTGCTCACAGTCGTGTATAATTTGGAGCTGTGATTTGATAGGGTCTATTTGTTCCGCTGAAGTCGATCAACGATCAATTTCCTTCTGCCTCCCATCCAATTTCAACTAATCTAGTCTAGCCTTCTTCACGGCTAACAAATGCCAAAGATCACCGGTGTCATAATGCAATCTCAAACCTCATTATCCACTGAGAGAAAGCACCTTAGGTCTGAAATGATCCGGTGCGTCAGGCTATGAGTGATGTAACTGCATTGTTACAGTGACTGTTATTAGAACGCACATTATCTGTGAAGCTACTGAAGCTTGTGACTGGTAATAACATATAAGAGCTAATGGTATGTTTGTCAAACCTAGCTGTTCACAGAAGTCAGCATTTCACACAGTGCAGCTTGGCTGTTAACTGATAAATCATTAGAATGACATTCTCTTCACTGAAAATGCATAAAGCTGACAAGTCTGTGATTTTAAGATGCTGTCAGATGGTGATGGTAGGGAAAATAACATATTTACAGCAAAACATGTTTTCATTTTGTATAATGGTTGCAAGAAAATGACTTTAAAGTGGAATCCTTGTTGCTTTTTGATGAATAGCTATTTTTCAAAGAATGCAAAACTCAAGAAAGCTCAAAGATATGGTCCATATGAGATATGATACCTAAAAGGTATGATACCTAATTAAAAAAACATTTTCTGGGTAGAAGAAGATTAGATAAAAGAAAACAAAAGAAGATGATTAAACAAAATAATTACAAGTAAAGTGAATATGAAATAAAATATTGGGATTTTGTTTCGTTAAACTTAACTGTAAATAAATATTTCAGTTGTTCTACTTCAAAATTTCATATTTAATTCAATGTTACTTGCCATTTGTTATTATTTGTGAAATTTTTAAAAAACATTTCTAAATGAAAATTGTTTCACCACCAATTTATTTCAGTGAATATATTTGTTTGTTCATTCATTACCATTCAGTTATTTAATCATTTAATAATACTGAATGTAATTTAGTTTAAATTTAAGAGAGAATTATGCCTGCTTTGTATTTCCCCCAAAATGAGAATGACAGAACAAGTCTGTTTTGGGACAGCTTTAGCTGGTGAGCTTCCAAGCATGAATTTTATGACCAAATAGGCATTAGAACCACTGCAGTACTGTCCCTACCCACTGATGGGAGGAGGAGAGAGAGAAAATTCAGGGCAGCATTGGAAGGGAGCGAAGCAGAGCGAGTGAGAGAGAGAGAAACCCTTTGAAAAGAAGCTAAAGCTATAATGCAGCAGTCTGCAGCCAGCTCTACTTATGTCTACACAAAACAGATCAGTCCGTCAGTGGGCCCAGAATGGGTTTGCATTCACAATGCGTGTGTTCGCTGACTGTTTCAGAACCATGGAGAGCTCCACTTCAATCAGCATTCATTTCAGCACCACGGACAGAGTCTCTGCTACAACCGCTGCAATCCAATCATGACACTTATACGACGTTGCATTTAATAAGAGAGCTATTTGCTCAACAGCCTCAATTTGTAATGTGTGCGAAACACAAAACGTTTCAGCACTCATAATGAGTGCAGGTTCTGCTGTACTGCAGGGGGTTGATAAGAATGCATGCGAGAAGAGGTCAGGTACAATCTAATTTAATTCCTCTCTCACGGGCTGGAGCTGAGCTGTACCTGTAGGCACGAAGCTCTTTTAGAGACTGGGATCTTGCATCTAAGACCCTCTTCCCCTTTTCCAAGAGGTTAACGACATGAAATGCACCGAAGGTCTGCTTTTGTTAAAACACTCCAATTATTCCAATTATTCCCAAGGATCTAAGACACAGGGAGCCGAACCCACTGCCTGCGGAAACGAAATAAGATTAAGCAACAGAGAGAAAGACTGAGAAAAGAACAGACAAGCAGAAGAGCTTGACAGAGGCACAGTGTCGTCCTCTACATTGTAAGAAAAAAATCTATAGAAAAATGGACTGGTACTGGTAATTTTCTGCAAGGAGATTATCAGTTAATTGTAACCCTAAAACAACACAGTCAATGCAATATGCAAGTCAAAATATGGGTAAAATGCCTCATTCACTGTAAAAACTGATAACAAGCAATTGTTACCTTAAAGGAGCAATTTCATTTTAATTTATATATACATTTTAAATCACATTAACTATATTACCATTTTTCAGTCTATTAACACAGTACATTAGACCTAATTTACAGTCTTTTTCAGGGTGTATTCATGTAATAGTTAAATGTATTATTTGAAATATTTTTGAATAAAATCAGTTGTTACCATTTTTTTCAGTGTATTAAAACTGTCTATTAGGCCTAATGCTACAGACTTTTCTTAGAGTGTGAAAATCTACACACACACACTGCTGTCTGTACTTCCTCAGACAGACACAGAAAGCATTATCATTCTCCTCACAGCAACCTTGCAGCATGAGCCAAAGCTGCATACACACCAATACACACACACACACACACACACACACACACACACACACACACACACACACACACACACATGCTCCAGCTTGAACTGGTACCATCACCAGTGATTGGTAAAAGGCACATTTGCTCATCCTCTGCACACACTCACACACACACTCCCAATAGCTGTTGCAGGATCAGTCCACTCACCCTGACTGTTGGGTCCCCCATCACCCTCTTCGCATTCGGTGAGGTTGTTGAGCATTTTGGAAGCTCGAACACTGATCCCCTGCTAATGCTTACACTGCTGCTGTGTCCACCAGCCAACGTGTGTACCAGCCTCACACGGATGGAGGAGGAGGAGAAGGCTTGTGGTTCTCTGCCTCTCTCCTCTCAAGGAAGCGAGCAGTGCTGTACTCTGGCAGATTGGAATCCTCTCTGCGTATTGACTCTCTCGCTCTCTCTCTGTAGGAGGAGGAGGGGTTGGTGGGGGACAGAGAGGCTGCAGGGATGTAAATGATGGAATGCTTAAGAGTACTTTTTTTTCTCTCAAACACTCACACAGCATGTCGTCTCTTTCTCTCGCTGCTTCTTTCTCTGCTATGCAACCACAGGCTGCCTGTGCCTCACCATTACATTTTACAATGCAGTGATCAGGATTCGCCTTTGCTTACATGTAGCACCTGTTGCAATGTCTTTGTCATCACCGAGTCAAACTGTGTTCATATCAGAAAGATGTTACATCAAAAAAAAAAAAAAAGACTGCATGTGGTTGTGGGTCATTCTCAGGTTGTTTGCCTTGAGAATTCAGCAACCCAAAAAGCAGCAATATGCATTTTACATGTATTTTTAAATTTTTTATTTATTATATATTTTTAAGAAAAGGTGCAAGGCTGTAATAGCTGGTTGCTAGGTTGTTGCTAAGGCGTTCAGAGTGGATTTCAATGTGTTGATATGGCTGTTCTGGTGGTCGCAAAGGTGTTGCTATGCAGTTGCTAATCTGTTCAGGATGGTTGCTAATTTGCAAGTCCAATGCAAGTCCAATTTGCAAGTTTGAAAGTTAGAGGTATTTATATTTTTGTCCTTCCTTGCTGAAAAGAGCAGCACAGCTTGTTGCGTGATTTGCATGATTTGTTTTAGATGTCCCAAGCGCAACCAAACAAACAAACAAGCAAATAACCAACCACCAGAAAGGGATGGTAAATTAATACCTATGTTTTAGCAACCAGCACCAAACCAACACTAACTGGTTTAGGGTTTTATTTTTTGGTAAAACTTCACAATACGGTTTCTTAACATTAGGCAATGCAACAACTAACATGGACAAAATTATATAAAAAAATATTTTAATATAATTTATAATATTTATAATATAATATATTTTATAATATAATATAATATAATATAATATAATATAATATAATATAATATAATATAATATAATATAATATAATATAATATAATATAATATAATAAGACAGGATTTAGGGGTTTATTTCCTTGAAGCACATTTTTTAATACTAGTTAATCCAGTAGCTAACATGAAATAATAAAATTTAAAAAAAAATTAAAGAAATTTGCAAAAAGGATATATAATAATATCATATAATCATTTATACAAAAATAATGGTTTATGTTCATTTCCACATTTGATAATTCATTTTAAAATTTTAATTTCGTCCCCTTGGAATTATAAGGTTCTATCTGACATTTTTGTCAAAATTGAGTTATTCACATATTCTTATTCTGTGACAACATATTTACATGAGATTGTGTAATGTTGTGTACATTTTGGGACTTTTTATTTAAAAAACAAAAAGGTTCTATCTACACAGTCGAATGGAATGCAAAAACTTTGAAGCTCAATATCTCAAAACTACTCGGAATGCAGATAGAACCTTATAATTCCAAGGGGACGATTTGTAAAAAAAATAGCATGTTAATGCACAATAATATGAATGAACATTACATTAACAATAATATTTATGCATTATTAAAGTATTGGTAACACTTTATTTCGATAGTCCACTTTAGACATTCTATTAATCTATCTGACATTTTTGTCAAAATTGAGTTATTCACATATTCTTATTCTGTGACAACATATTTACATGAGATTGTGTAATGTTGTGTACATTTTGGGACTTTTTATTTAAAAAACAAAAAGGTTCTATCTACACAGTCGAATGGAATGCAAAAACTTTGAAGCTCAATATCTCAAAACTACTCGGAATGCAGATTGAACCTTATAATTCCAAGGGGACGATTTGTAAAAAAAATAGCATGTTAATGCACAATAATATGAATGAACATCACATTAACAATAATATTTATACATTATTAAAGTATTTAATAAATTAAAAGATAAATAAATAATTTTAATAAATTGAACCAAGTTGTAAAGTGTTACCTATTTTTCTTTCTAGAATACTGGGTTTGATATCAAAATCACATAAGGGCATTGATATTTCTATTCTGCCATTTCATGAGACACATGAATCAAACACATTTACCTTCTGCCTTAATGTTTCTATATGTGATGAAATACTTATGAGGCATAAGCCATGTAAGGAATGATTGCCAGAGGCTTTTCCAGGCTCTATGTCACGCTACAGCTTGTGGAGATGCTTGTGAGATGAAGTGATGTGGAAATCTTTTATACACACTTTCTTTCTGACCTCAGAGGTAAACTCCACTGAGTCTTCCTTCCTGAGAGCTTTCTATAAATACAGAGAATAAATTAAGGTATGGGAGATTTTAAAGGTTTTTTCAAAAGTGCAGGATGGTGAGAAAGGACACACAGGAATGAGGGACACGCAAATGGTTAGACACATAAATGATAGATCTGCTCAGAGTCAGAGAGAAACACTGATGGATAAAAGCCACTGTGGGCAGCAGGAGAGGACAAAGTACAGATACAGAAATATGGGGGTTTGGAAAAGCATAAAATTTTCTTATATATCTCATATGTATATACATGTAGAGTCCAAACGTCGCTCACCAAATTCAAAATCTAATTTTGAACAATTTTAAACAAAGAAATATGAGTTTATTGAATAAGAAATATAATTTATTTCTATATGGATGACATAATCATCAGGTCAGCTTGTGGAGTTCATGCAGCTCAAGTCATTATCATTTTTTTTTTTTTTTTTTTCAAAATGTTCATTAAAGCAAGAAACTAGGCAAGAACATTGTTGTTGTTTTTTCCATACACTGGTCAATTTGGAATCAAAAATACACTATTATGTGCACTTTATCCATTACTATTATTATTATTATTATTATTATTATTATTATTCTGGCTGTAAGAATCTTTGACTTTGTTAACAAAATGAAACAAGAATTTAGAACTTGGCTTTATCCAATGTTCAGGTTTCTGTTCTGGAAATGCATGCAAATTAGTGCATCATTAATTAGACATAGCCTCATCTGCATATCTAAACATAACATTTTAGAAAACTTGTAATAGAAAAAAAGCAATTCTAAATGTAATCAGTCAACTGGGTAATTATGGTGATATGTATTCTTTTTTACACTCTTCACCTAGAGTGACTTGCCTTAAATGTATTGAAATTGCTAAATGTTCTATCAAATGTTATGCAAATTAAATAAGAGAAACAGAGACAATCAGGTGGGAAAAAACACAAATGAACCTTGTGCAGATAAGTGGTATCAAGGTCCAGGGTGAAGAAAGGAGATAAGATTTTGAGAAGCAGGAGAAAATGCTGGGCTGGCTGTATTCATGCAGTGAACCTCCACTGAGACCAACACTTTTCCTCCTAAAAGCATTTAAGTGTGCATCTTGGCTATTTTTAGCATCAGAAGCTCAAAGACAAGGAAAATGTTTCTGAACTCTGAAGATTTCTCTGTGATTAAATAATCTGTTCTCATATCTGTGTATATTTTTTGTGTAAAGACATTTCTATATATGGTTCTAATGGCATGGCTGAGAACAAAAACCTTCTGTAATATCAGGAATTCTCAGATTAAAGCAGATTACCATCATTTGCAAATCAAAATACCTTGTCAAAAAATGTTATTCTGTTTGTATGCATGTTCATATTCTGTCAGTTTTCAGAATGAGCTACAATTAATAATTAAAAAAAAAAAACTCTTTATAGGAAGAGTCCAAAATGTTATATTTCGCAGTTGTGTCCAATTAGGCATCAAATATCATGAAACAAATGAATTCTCTAATGATATAACAATTTAGGGCTCATTAATAAAATTTGGCACAAGCTCTGGTAATTTTGTTCATCTTAAACAAGTATCAAAATGTTAATATGTTTGAGAATATTAATATTTTCTCATATTGATAAAAAAAGTACACTTAAGCATACCTTCAAAAACAGTAGGCTACTTATTACAGAAAAATGCTTTTAAAAAATATACTTAAGTGTAAACTGAATGTAATGTTTTCAGACACTGAAGTGCATATTAACTGCAATTATATGAAAATGTATTGTAGTTTACATTTATATTAAATGAGTGCTTTTATGACCCACTTAAATAGGACTTAAATACATCTTTATATAAAAATGCAGGGTTGTTTCAACTCAACTTTGGGTCAAATATGGACTAACCCAACTGTTGGGTAAAATGTTTAAATTACATTTTTCACCCAAAAGTTGGGTTAGTCCATATTTGTCCCAAAGTTGGGTTGATACAACCCAGCATTTTTTAGAGTGTATAATTTCATAATTCTACTGCCTTTGAAATATAATTAAAGTGTATTGCTGTGTATTGAGTGTACTGATAAGCATTTATGGTATCTAAAATATATTTTAACGTAATTTCTATTGAAAGTTGTATGTTACTTTGAAGTAAAACCTTTAATTTGACATTAAAGGGTTAGTTCACCCAAAAATGAAAATTCTGTCATTAATTACTCCCCCTCGTGTTGTTCCAAACCCGTAAGACCTTCGTTCATCTTCGGAACACAATTTAAGATATTTTTGATGAAATCTGAGGGCTCTCTGACCCTCCCATAGACAGCAAGGTAACTACCACGTTCAAGGTCCAGAAAAGTACCAAGATGATCGACAAAGTAGTCCGTGTGACATCAGTGGTTCAACTGTAAAGTTACGAAGCTACGAGAATACTTTTTTGCGCAAAGAAAACAAAAATTACGTTAAATTATACTGTCGTGAACGCGAGTTCAAAGTGACACAGTAGAGACAAATATGTGGAATAAAGTCTTTATTTTTGTTTTCTTTGCACAAAAAAAGTATTCCCGTAGCTTCGTAACTTTACAGTTGAACCACTGATGTCACACGGACTACTTTGTCGATCATCTTGGTACTTTTCTGGACCTTGAACGTGGTAGTTACCTTGCTGTCTATGGGAGGGTCAGAGAGCCCTCAGATTTCATCAAAAATATCTTAAATTGTGTTCCGAAGATGAACGAAGGTCTTACGGGTTTGGA